GCCGCGCGCTCCAGCCCTGGCTCCCGGCCCCTCCCACCCAGCCTCGGCCCTTCCGCCTCCTCACCAGCCCCCACCCACGCTGCCTCGAGGGCCAGCGGCTCGGAGGGGACAGCTGCCCCGGCCTCCTCCCAGGGCTGCCTGTCTCTTTCGTCTCCTTGCACTGGCCTGGGCGGGTGTCACATCTCTGGGCAATGCCCGAACGGCGTCCTGCGCCCTGAGGGTGCTGATAAACTCGGCTGATTGGCGGACGAGCCCGCCCGGGCCCTGCTGTGCGCCAGGGCCACAGCGTCTTGCCTTCAGTGCGGCACGGGCTCGCGGGGCCGCAGGCCCAGAGGTCAGCCTTACAACCCACCCGCCGCCCGGGTTCTTGCCCTGGCTCCCCGCCCGGGCTCTCCACTGCTGGCTGCGACTCCGAGGCTGGGAAGGGTTCCCGGCTTCTATTTCCAGTTCCTCCTGAGAGCTGCTTCGGAGGGCCCTGGAAGTGACACTTGGAGCCATAAGGTCCCCACGCGTCTTGTGAGCTGCCTGTCCGAAAAGACCCTTCCTGCCAGTCTGGGAAGGTTCGTTGAGTGTCGCCAGACCCGGTTGGTAGGCTGGGAAAGAAGAAGGACGAAGCAAGTATCATGCCTTCTTCCTCCACGCACCCGGTTCAAGAACCCACACGGTTCTCGTCCTTGTCCGTCCTGCTGTCGCTCCACCCTTTCTAGGGTCGGGGGCCCCATTCCCAACACCAAAGTGGCCTGCAGTTCTACTAACGCCCTGCTCCCCGTGACATTTCCTAAAATCCACGAGAAGTGGCAGGTACAGGGCAGTGACCCCAGCGAATGAACCTGCCAGGGCTACCGCCAGGGTATCTAATGGTACGGTCACCTTTTTACACGCATTTCATCTCCCAAGGCCAAGCTTTCCTGCCATGTGACTACCTACTCGGCTCTGCCGCATACCAACCCAGCCACCATTCCTAAGTTTTCCTTAACCTTCCAAAGACAAGGTGCAAGCCGATAAACACCTTGGACTTGCTAAGCTCCTGAGGGGTTCAAGTTCCTATCTACGTGGATGACCTTAGAGATGTCCTGTGCCCTCTTGGGGCCTGGTCTATGCACTACAGTGGTTAAACAGAAAACCTGAGCTCTATGATTTGAAAAAGGGCAATAACATCTCTCGCTCTCTCTCGCTCTCTCTCTTTTTTTTTTTTTTTTAATTTGACAGGCAGAGTTAGACAGTGAGAGAGAGAGACAGAGAGAAAGGTCTTCCTTCCATTGGTTCACCCCCCAAATGGCCACTACAGCGCGCCGATCCGAAGCCAGGAGCCAGGTGCTTCTCCTGGTCTCCCATGCAGGTGCAGGGCCCAAGCACTTGGGCCATCCTCCACTGCCTTCCCGGGCCACAGCAGAGAGCTGGACGGGAAGAGGAGCAACTGGGACTAGAACCCAGCGTCCATATAGGGTGCCGGCACCCCAGGCAGAGGATTAGCCTAGTGAGCCACAGCGCCGGCCCCAATAACATCTCTTTTAGACACTTCCTTAGAATTGACAGCAAGAGGCTGCACAGGTATGTCGTCCAAGAGAGATGTTGAAGATGAAGTGCTCCTCCAACATGTTGTCCCAGCAATCAGCACACATCCATTTTAGTGTTGATGTCCCAGCTACATGACTGTCCTTTCTGTTAGAATATGAGCCAGGTGACAGCAGTGTGAGGGAGGGTCTAATTCACCACTGTATTCTCCATTGTTTCTTTTTTTTTTTTTTAACATTTTTATTTTATTTATTTGGAAGAGTTACAGAGAGGAGAGAAAGAAAGAGAGATCATCCATCCACTGGTTCACCCTCCAAATGGCTGCAATGGCCAAGGCTGGGCCAGGGTGAAACCAGGAGCCAGGAGCTTCATCTGGGTCTCACATGTGGGTGCAGGGGCCCAAGCACTTGGCCAGGCTCAGCTGCACTTTCCTAGGTGCATTAGCAGGGGGCTGGATCAGAAATGCAGCAGCCAGATCTGGAACCAGCACCCATATGGGCACCATGCCTCAATGCCAGCCCTCCCCCACGTTGTATCTTGTATGCTTGGAACACAGTACATGGACTCCTGGCTCCGGGTTTTGGCTTGGCCCAGCCTTGGCTAATGCAGCCATTTGGGGAGTGAACCAGCGGATGGAAGATCTTTGTCTCTCTCTCCTTCTGTCTCTGAATCTCTGCCTTTTCAAATCAATAAATAAATATTTTAAAAAAATAAAGATGTGTTGATTTATTTGAAAGTCAGAGTTACATAGAAAGAGAGAGAGAGAGAGAGAGAGAGAGAGGTCTTCCATCTGCTGGCTCACTCACCAATTGGCCACAGCAGCTGGAGCTGCATCGATTCAAAAGCCAGGAGCCAGAAGCTATTTCTGGGTCTCCCACATGGGTGCAGGGGCCCAAGGACTTGGGCCATCTTATACTGCTTTCCCAGGAGCATTAGCAGGGAACTGGATTGGAAGTAGAGCAGCTGGGATTAGAACCAGTGCCCATATGGGATGTTGACACTGCAGGCAGAGGCTTAACCTTCTACACCACAGCATCAGCCCCTAAAAAATAATTAAAAAAAAAAAAAATCTTGGGCTGGTGCTATGGTGTAGCAGGTTAACACCCTGGCCTGAAGCGTCGGCATCCCATATGGACGCCAGTTCTAGTCCCGGCTGCTCCTCTTTCGATCCAGCTCTCTTCTATGGCCTGGGATAACAGTAGAAGACGGCCCAAGTCCTTGTGCCCCTGCACCTACGTGGGAGACCTCGAAGAAGCTCCTGGCTCCTGGCTCCTGCTTCGGATTGGCGCAGCTCTGGCCATTGTGGCCATCTGGGGAATGAACCAGTGGATGGAAGACCTTTCTCTCTGTCTCTACCTCTCTCTGTAACTCTGTCTTTCAAATAAATAAAATAAAAAACAAATATTTTTAAAAATAAATTTTTAAAACATTATTTGAAAGGCAGAGTTACAGAGGAGAGAGAGAGAGAGAGAGAGAGAGAGAGAGAGAGAGAGAGTGTCTTCTGTCCGCTGGTTCACTCCCCAGTTGGCCACAATGGCCGGAGCTGGGCTGATCCGAAGCCAGGAGCCAGGAGCTTCTTCTGGGTCTCCCACGTGGGTGCAGGGGCCCAAGGACTCAGGCCATCCTCTTCTGCTTTTCCAAGCCATAACTGAGAGCTGGATTGGAAGTGGGACAGCTGGGACTCGAACTGGCTCCAGATTCGGCACTGCAGACGGCAGCTTTACCAGCTTCACCACAGTGCTGGCCCCTAAAAATAAACCTTTTTTTTTTTTTTTTAAAGAATTATTGATTGACTTGAAAAGGCAGAGAAAGGGGCCGGCACTGTGGCATAGCGGGTTAAGCCGCCGCCTGCAGTGCTGACATCCCATATGGACACCAGTTCGAGACCCGGCTGCTCCACTTCTGATCCAGCTCTCTGCCATCGCCTGGGAAAGGAGCAGAAGATGGCCCAAGTCCTTGAGCCTCTGCACCCATGTGGGAGACCCAGAACTAGCTCCTGGCTCCTGTCTTCGGATCAGCACAACTCTGGCTATTGCCACCAACTGGGGAGTGAATCAGCATATGGAAGACCTTTCTCTCGCCCTCTCTCTCTCGATGCCTCTCCTTCTCTCTGTGTAACTCTGACTTTCAAATAAATAAATCTTAAAAAAAAAAAAAAAGGCAGAGATACAGAGAGGGAAGGAGAGAGAGAGAAAAGGGGGGAGAGACAGAGAGAGCAAGTGAACTTCCATCCACTCCAAAACCAGGAGTCAGAAGCTTCTTCCAGGTCTTCCATATGAGTGCAGGGGCCCAAGCACTTAGGCCATCCTCCTCTACTTTTCCCAGGAACATTAGCAGGGAGCTGGATTGGAAGTGGAGCAGCTTGAACTCAAACCACTGCGCATATGGGATGAGGGGCTGCAGGCAGAGGTTTAACCTGCTACACCACAGCACTGGCCCCCAGGTAGATTATTTTCAATCAAGGCTGGCCTGTAAAATCCAGGAGATGAGGTTTCTGTGGCTACAGGATCCCAGAGGAAGGAGAGGAAACCCACAGAGATTAGCTAGACCAGGCCAGGCTGGGACTCAACATCCTTTAAATTATAACACTGTAATGACACAATTTATGTGCCAGGTTTAACACTAGATGAGCAAATATCTACTAAATGGCAAATATTTTACATACATTTAATAAACCATGTAACTTATTCCTCACAATTGAGGTAGGATGAATGTTTTAGAAAAGAAACTTTTTTTTTTAATTTATTTATTTGAAAGAGTTACACAGAGAGAGGAGAGGCAGAGAGAGAAAGAGAGGTCTTCCATCCGCTGTTTCACTCCCACTCCCCAATTGACTGCAACAACTGGAGCTGTAGCGATCCGAAGCCAGGAGCCAGGAGCTTCTTCTGGGTCTTCCACGTGGGTGCAGGGACCCAAGGACTTGGGCCATCTTCTACTGCTTTCCCAGGCCATAGCAGAGAGCCGGATTGGAAGTGGAGCAGCCGGGTCTCAAACCGGAGCCCATATGGGATGCCGACGCTTCAGGCCAGGGCGTTAACCTGCTGTGCCACAGCGCAGGCCCCAAAATTTATTTTCAAAGAGATTTAATAACCCACCCAAGGCCACACTGCCAAGCACACGATAGAGCCTATGCAGGGACAAGGTGGAGAAGGGGGCCAGGGGAAGGCGGAAGCTTGGGGAAGTTATCTTTAGCCAGCCTGGTGAGCAGCCCACGGGTACTGGGCTTTGAGTCCAAGTGGCCTTCTGCCATCCATTCTGACATAAGGGCAAGCCGGGATAGGGGCCACCTGAGTTCCCTAGGGCTCTCATCACTGCATCATCAACACGGGCGCTCTGACGTGCACCTGCTGACGTTGGTGTCTGGAACCACAGATGCCCTGGCTGCTGGCAGCGGAGGAGGCGGCCCCTGCTACCGCCCAAACCTCACAGCCGCCCCCGCCAGCCCCTCAGTGGTCAGGGAACAGCCCGCACAGCACCGCACGTCGGTCCGCAGGGAAGAGGGCGGGGACTGCGCGGCGCGGGACTACAAATCCCACAATGCTCCGGACCGCGACGGCGGGGAAGGAGGGGTGCTTCAGGTGTCTGCGACCTCGGCGCCTCCCGCCCGGAAGTGCCCGAGGGGCCGAGATGGAGCTGGCGGAGCCAGGCGGTGAGTCCCCGCGCCGTGACCGCGCCCACCCCGCCGCCCCAGGACCCAGCCGGGCCCCGCTCGCCCCGCCCCGGGATCGCCCTTGCCCTCCTGCGGCTCTAGGGTGGGGGTGGGGGGCGGGAAGATGGGAGGGGTGATGGAGGAGAGTGAGTGAGAGAGAGAGTGGCGGGGGTGAAGTCCCAGATTCCGGATCTGGGGTCTGGCAGCTGGCTGGGTTTGGAGAGGTTTCTCGAGCAGACGCGCAGTCGGGCCCCCACGGGGGTTGGGGGTTGGGGGTTGAGTGGACCAGGCGGGGGCCGAGTTGGGTGGGTGGCAGCTCTTAGAGGCTCCAGATTGCCCAAGGGCGGAGTTTGACGTTTGGTGTGGGGGAAGCTTTGGGAAGCAGTCCCGTGCCGCGCGCGGGTGCGGTTTGGGTATGGTAAGGGGCGAGGTGAATGGAGCTGTAGAGGATCTTCCCCCTTGGAGAAACTGTATCAACATAAGAGTGGATGAGCGTTGGGGTGAAGTAGATGGAGGAGTAGGTACACTTTGGGATGCAGTAGAATAGAAAAACTTTGGAGGGGCTTGAATTTAAGGGGTGCTCAGAAGGCGATAGGGTTTTGGTGAATTGAGGGGTTGGTTAAGAATAGGGAGTTGTGATTGGATTTGGTGATGGGAAAGGGCAGGAGGAGGCAAGTGTGGGACTACTGGGAGAGCAGTCTGCATTTTGTAAGAAAGCAGAGGGATTGGAAGAGCTGGGGTGGGGTGGGTCAGGAGGCAGAGAGCCAGCCCTTCATGAGATCTTTGTGCTTTTCCAGCATGGTAGCCTGGCGGGCAAGGCAGGTGCCATGGCCCTGATTGAAGGGGTGGGTGATGAGGTGACTGTCCTTTTCGCGGTGCTTGCCTGCCTTCTGGTGCTGGCCCTCGCCTGGGTCTCGACACATACCGCCGAGGGCGCCGACCCCCTGCCCCAGCCATCAGGGGTCGCAACAGCAGCACAGCCCGGTGAAGTTATGGGAGCCACCGCCACCGACAGCGTCAGAGGGGAGTCCCCAGGGGCCGAGACCCCCAGCCTGAGACACAGAGGTCAAGCTGCACAGCCAGAGCCTGGTGCAGGGGTCACAGCAACACCGCCACCCCCGGACTCCCCACAGGAGCCCCTAGTGCTGCGGCTGAAATTCCTCAATGACTCAGAGCAGGTGGCCAGGGCCTGGCCTCACGACACCATTGGCTCCTTGAAAAGGTAAGCAAAGAGATGAGCAGGAGAAACGCCACTGGGAGTGGGGGTGGGAGTGATGGTTTTACCTCCTTGAGGGCCCTCAGCTCCCCGTATCACACCCGACGGCAGGCTGCCCCCTCGGGTGGTGTGTGGGGGCGGGGGGCAGCGCTGTTTTGGGTGAGGGACTAGGATTGCCTGAGGCCTGCTCTCTTACCCAGGTCCCTCTCTCCTCAGGACCCAGTTTCCCGGCCAGGAGCAGCAGGTGCGGCTCATCTACCAAGGGCAACTGCTAGGAGACGACACACAGACCCTGGGCAGCCTTCACCTCCCTCCCAACTGCGTTCTCCACTGCCACGTGTCCACGAGGGTCGGGCCCCCGCATCCGCCCTGCCCGCCGGGGTCAGAGCCAGGCCCCTCCGGGCTGGAAATCGGCAGCCTGCTGCTGCCTCTGCTGCTGCTGCTGCTGCTCCTGCTCTGGTACTGCCAGATCCAGTACCGGCCCTTCTTCCCCCTGACCGCCACTCTGGGCCTGGCCGGCTTCACCCTGCTCCTCAGCCTCCTGGCCTTCGCCATGTACCGCCCGTAGTGCCTCCACGGGCTCTCGGCAGCGTCGCCGGCCCCTCCGGACCTCGCTCCCCAAGGCACAGCGGGAGCTGCTGCCTGCCCAGGCCCGCCTCTCCGGCCTGCCTCTTCCCGCTCCCCTGGAGCCCAGCCTTGCGCCGCAGAGGACTCCGGGAGCTGGCGGAGCCCCCTGCCTGTGACCGCCACGGCTCGGGGCCACCTCCTAGGGCTGCAGGCCCCCAGCCCTCACTGACAGTTGGCTCCTCGGGGTCAGGTACCTGCTGTCGATGCCTTGGCCCTGGGCAAAGCCAGGCCACCCCCCTGGGCCCGTCTTAGTGTTCTGCCTGTGGACCCGGCCATGTGTAGACCCTAACAGCTCCTCGGGCTGGTCTAGGGACGCAAAGACTGCGGTAGGCTGGTGCAGGGGATGGGAGAGGGGCAGAGGTCTATGAAATATGTGCAGATTAAAATAACTGTGAAGTTTTCACTCTTGGCGTGTGTCTGAGTGGGGCTGGGAGGCGGGGAGCCCTTGTTGTCTGGGAGAAAAGGGAGGGAAGGACCGGGACTGGACCCTCGGCCCTGTCCAACCCGCCGGCGACTAACTTCCCTTCTCTGCTCCGGTCGCCGCGGCTTCGGGGTTTGGTTCTGTGGCCCCGCCCCCTAGCCTGGGTCCCGCCCCCGGTGCTGCGCGCGCACTTCCCGGAAGCTGGGGGCGGGGCCCGCGGCGCCCTGGCTCGCAGCGCCTGCCGGGAGCCACGTCTCCGCTGGCCAAGCGCTTCGCCGGGGTTGGCGTCCCGGCGGCGATCCGGGGGCTGCTGGGAAGATGGCGGACTCTGTGGCCCGCGGATGAGGAGGCCGCGGGGGGAACCCGGCCCCCGGGCCCCGAGACCGACTGAGAGAGCGACCTGCGCGGGGCCTGGGGAGTCATGTAGAGGTGAGCGCTTGCGGAGCGGGCCGCGGGAGGGTGGCGGGAGTAGGTGTTAGCGGCGGTGGCCACGGTCTCCTGGCGTCCCTGGGCTGGGGTGGGTGTGGGGGACCCCGACATCGCCGACTCCGCGCCATTGCAAAACTGCGCACTCGGGTCTCACCCGCGCCCTGCGCGGTGGAGCTGCATTCGTATTTCACTGGTGAGGAGACTTAGGCAGAGAGACGAAGCTACTTGTCCAAGGTCACACAGCTGGTAAGTGGGGGCGCCCAGCATGGAACCCAGCACTGTCCGGCTGCGGTGCCCGCGTTCCACCCTCCGGGCCGCCGCCGCCTCCTGCGGGAGCGGGAGGTGGTCGTCGGGAGGGCGCATTGCTGGAGCCTCCTGGGCTCCATACTGGGCGCAACCACTAACCCGGTTAATGACCTCAGCCTTAACCTCTTCGCCACTCTGGGCCTTGGTTTCTCCATCTGCGAAATGAAGTGATGGCAGCCCTGCCGACCCCCCCCCCCCCCATAGGCGTGTAAGGAGCACCGAGGAGATAATGCATGTGGAGCTGCCTTGTGCATAGCGCTGCGCTGAGCACGCTGAAGCATTATGATTGCTGTTTGGAAGGAGCGGGGCGGGGGAGAGCAGAGGGGTCACCCAAGGTTGCTCTGTCTCCAGGCCCCTCTGGCTGGGGAGTGAGGTTAGGAGGAGATGGCAGGTCTTTCTCCCCTTTGAAGGAAACCTCACCCCCTCTTCTGGGCTGCCCCTCAGGGTCTCCGTCACCCAACTCCATGCTTCGAGTCCTGCTCTCTGCCCAGGCCTCCCCTGCTCGGCTGTCTGGCCTGCTGCTGTTCCCGCCAGTACAGCCCTGCTGTTTGGGGCCCAACAAGTGGGGGGACCGGCCTCTCGGAGGAGGCCCCCACGTGCAAGGACTGCAGCGGCTTCTGGAACAGGCGAGGACCCCTGGGGAGCTGCTACGCTGGCTGGGCCAGAACCCCACCAAGGTGCGCGCCCACCACTACCCTGTGGCACTTCGTCGTCTGGGCCAGCTCTTGGGGTCCCGGCCACGGCCCCCTCCCGTGGAGCAGGCCACACTGCAGGACTTGAGTCAGCTCATCATCCGAAACTGCCCCTCCTATGACATTCACACGATCCACGTGTGTCTGCACCTTGCAGTCTTACTTGGTGAGGAGGGGCTTGAGGAGGGCGTCTGGGAAGGGATGGGCGCTAAGAATGGAAGATTAGAGAACGAGAATGGAGCTGACACTCAGCCTCTCGGGCTGGGCCCCGGATGACACATACCCAGGCTGGCTCGGTGCTGCTTCCCCTCCTGATGGCAGACATGAGTCAAACCACGCTCCTTCCATCTTTGTTCAGGCTCCTTCTAATGTAGTGCTCTGGGAAGCCACTGTAGTTTGTCACAGTTGCCATGAGGGCTTGTTTGTCATCTTTGTCTCAGCCTCTTCCCCCACAGATCATAGTGATAACCTCATGTTCACATGATACTTAACATTTCTCAGTGTTTCCACCAAAACTCAGCACACCTTCCTACTCAGGAGATGGGACGGAGAGGGCTGGGGGGAGTTCCCTGACTAACCCCGCCGTCAGAGCAGAGCTGCACAGCTCTGTTAGCAGGCCTGCCTCTGCCCCTCTCCGTCTTAGGCTTTCCATCAGATGGGCCTCTGGTGTGTGCCCTGGAGCAGGAGCGAAGGTTCCGCCTCCCTCCGAAACCACCTCCCTCTCTGCAGCCCGTCCTCCGCGGCGGGCAAAGGTTGGAAGCTGCCCTGAGCTGCCCCCGCTTTCTGCGGCATCCACGGCAGCATCTGATCAGCAGCCTGGCAGGTGCTGGAAGGGGCTTAAAGGCACGTGGGTGGGGGAGGGGCCGAGGCACGGAGGCATCTAGCCCATGGGCGGGCCTGACCTGAGGGTCCGGCATGATAAGCTGTTCCTCACAGAAGCAAGGCCCGAAGAGCTGACTCCCCACGTGATGGTGCTCTTGGCCCGACACCTGGCCCGGCACCGGCTGCGGGAGCCCCAGCTTCTGGAAGCCATTGCCCACTTCCTGGTGGTCCAGGAAGCCCAGCTCAACAGCAAGGTGGGCATACCTCCCATGCTCCTCTCTGAATCACCCTCAGGCTCAGCCTAGCCTCTTGGTGCAGCTGGGCCATTCTGCGCTGTGCCCCAGGGCCACCACACCCGCAGATACCATCCCAGTGGCTTGTGCAGTGCTTGTGGAAGAGCGGGAGGGCAGAACGAGCTGCAGTTTCCAGAGCACTGGGCACCATCTAGTTTTATCAGTCTCATTCCTTGATGACTCCAGAGCCGGACTCCACAGCAGCGTCCCCTTCTCTCGTCACACGGCCCAAGACACTGCTGCTGCTGTTGAACCTGTGTTATGCTGCAGCTAGAGGGACCCTTCTGCCTCTCGAGCAGTGTTCCACGCCAAGTGCAGCGTGCAGCTCACTGGAGAAGACTTGTGCTGGGTAACGCCCTGCTGTCGCCCCACAGGTGGTACAGAAGTTGGTGCTGCCCTTTGGGCGGCTGAACTACCTGCCCCTGGAACAGCAGTTTATGCCCTGCCTCGAGAGGATCCTGGCTCGGGAGGCAGGGGTGGCACCCCTGGCCACGGTCAACATCCTGATGTCACTGTGCCAGCTCCGGTGCCTGCCCTTCAGAGCCCTGCACTTTGTATTTTCCCCGAGTTTCATCAACCACGTCAGTGGTATGCTGACCGGATGGCCGGTGGGGCCCCTGAGGACCTGGGAGAGCGGGGACCACCTGCAACCCAGCGAGCTCCAGTCCCCACCTCCCCACAGGCACCCCTCACGCGCTGATTGTGCGACGCTACCTCTCCTTGCTTGACACGGCCGTGGAGCTGGAGCTCCCGGGATACCGGGGTCCCCGCCTTCCCCGAAGGCAGCAAGTGCCCATCTTCCCCCAGCCGCTCATCACCGACCGTGCCCGCTGCAAGTACAGGTGGGTAGGGCAGCGTGGGGTGTGGGGCAAAGGGTGTGGACGCCTTGGAAGCAGTCGTGTAGAACAGCCAGAGGGCCCGTGGGACTGGGCAGGTGGCTGCACTGATGACAGCAAAACAGTCCCCAAGGCTGTTTGTCCAGAGCAGCAGGACCTGACCAGGACCGACTTGGACCTTCCACTAACTGCGCCCTTTCCCCTTCAGTCACAAGGACATAGTAGCCGAGGGGCTGCGCCAGCTGCTGGGGGAGGAGAAATACCGCCAGGACCTGACTGTGCCTCCAGGCTACTGCACAGGTAAGCCCCGGCGGGCAAAGCAGGCCTGGGGAGATGGCCTCGGCTAAGGCACTGGCCCTCTTGCCCCTGCAGACTTCCTGCTGTGTGTCAGCAGCTCCGGTGCTGTGCTTCCCGTCAGGACCCAGGACCCCTTCCTACCTTACCCACCGAGGTCCTGCCCTCAGGGCCAGGCTGCCTCTAACCCCACGACCAGGGACCCTGCCCAGAGGTAAGGGAGGCAGGGCGGATGAGCCCTGGCTGTGTTGCCGACCGCACCCTGACCTGTGTCTGCCCCCCGCCCCCAGGGTGGTGCTGATGCTGCGGGAACGCTGGCATTTCTGCCGGGACGGCAGGGTGCTGCTGGGCTCCCGGGCCCTGAGGGAGCGGCACCTGGGCCTGCTGGGCTACCAGCTCCTCCCGGTAAGAGGCCTGCCCTGCCCTGTCCGGCCATGTCCCCACTCCCAGCCCCGCAAGTAACCTGCTGCCTTCTCCCCACAGCTGCCCTTTGAGGAACTGGAGTCACAGAGAGGCCTGCCCCAGCTCAAGAGCTACCTGAGGCAGAAGCTGCAAGCCTTGGGGCTCCGCTGGGGGCCGGAAGGGGGGTGAGGGATCACATGGGGTTCAGGATGGCCCCCCTATGGGGGGTGGACAATTTGCACTTTGGCTCCCTATGTTTTGGTTTTTCATTAAAGTCCTTTTCCTTCCCCATTGCTAGCTTCATTTCTGGGACAGGGAGCCGGGCTGGGGTCCCCTACACCTCTTTTCCATTCATGCCTCCCCCCCAAGAAACAAAAGGCCAGAAGTAGGTGGCGGCTGAAGCACTTTACTGCGGGGGCGGGGTGGAGAGGAGAAAGCTTTAAATTATTCATTTAAAAAAACAAGGAGGGCAGGGGAAGCACCCCACAGCCCCCGTTCCCTCTGTCCATCAGTCCCTTGGCCGTCCCTCCAGGCAGCAGCTACACAGGCATGGGCATCTCGTTGTACTCATCCACCCCCTCCCCCTCTTAAAACCCGGGTTCCGCCTCATTAGCGTCCAGCTGTGGGAGGAGGAGATTTTTACCAAGCAGACAGATGGGGGGGGGGGGGGGGGGGGGGGCTGCAGAGGCCCGAGGGAGGGAGCACGGGAGCCCTTACGCATTTCATCTCTCGCTCAGTGAAGATGCGGGTGAGCACCACCATGCGGAGCGGCACCGTGAGGATGAGGATGAAGGGGAAGGCCAGGGAAGCAGCTGTGGACATGACAGCCCAGAGCAGGGCCAGGCAGAGCAGCTGCAGGGCCGTGAACAAGTGCATCCGCAGGGTCCGAACCTGGGGAGGGGAGACAGGCTGAGCCCGGGCTTCTGACCAGCTGGCCGCAGCCAGGGCGTGGGGCTGACCCCTTTCCCCTGCTCAGAGGTGGGGACGGAGATACCTTCTTAAGTGCTTCCAGAGCCTGGTCTGTACAGAAAGTAAAGGGGCCGTCAGAGCGGGAGGGCGACCCAGGTAGACCAGGATGGGGCAGAGGCACGGAGGCCCCTTCCAGCTGGGGCTCACCTTCTTGACGTAAGTGACGTCGGGGTGGTGCTTGGGCGGCATGAGCAGCAGGTGCAGCCGCTCATAGAACTGAATCCCATTAAGAGATGTGACGCCCATGTACAGGAAAATTCCAAAGAGCACGGCCAGGGGGATCTGCCGGAGCAGGTCCCCGATAACGATGGAGAGGCCTGTGGGGCGGGGCGGGGCGTGGGGAGATGTCATTGGCACAGATTCCCCACCCAGTGACGCAGAGCCCCTGGGAGGGAAGGGCCAAGAGCAGCATACCTACAAGCAGGGCCACCAGCAGCCCCGTCACCCGCTGCTCCTTGACCTCCTGAATCTTGGGCTTGTCCCCGGGCGCCACAGCCTTGCTCATGACGGTGAGTGCATTGGCGTGAGTGACAGAGCGCACGGTGGCAGCGGCCAACCAGGGCAGGCCAAAGAGGGCACAGATGCCCCCCATAGCCACGATGAGCAGCAAGTCCAGGTGGAAGCCGGAGCCCTTCTGCAGCATGCGCTCCTTCTTGGAGATGATCAGCCTGAGAGCGGAGAAACCTGCCGGGGCCCAGGCTGCACACAGAACCCCCCCCCAGCCAGACCCTGTGTCTGTTCCGGAACTTGGTGGTCCCTGGCCATTCTGTCAGGCCTAGAATTCCAACGAGGAGCTGAACCTGCCCCTCAGCCCTTGTCCCCAGCCCAGCCAGCATCAGTGGGGTTTTCTGCTGCCTATGAAATAAACCTCCAGCGGCCCACCTGGCAGTCAGAGTCCTCACGCTCCATGGTCTCCCCTGCCCAGTGCAGCTGTGCGCCCATGCTGGCCAGGGACACTGGTCCCCCCTCCCCCACCTCGCCCCTATGCTAGGACCACTCACGTGGTGATCTGCGTCTCCATGAAGATGAGGATGAAGACTAGGATGGCAGGCAGCAGGCTGGCAACCATCATCCACACTGGGAAGGGGCTCTTCTCGCCCAGGGGGTTGATGACCCAGCCCCGCTTGTCAGGGGCTGTCACTGAGAATCCACTGGGGACACTCAGTTTCTGGAGGGCAGAGATGGGATAGGATGGAAAAAGCTTGTCATCTACCCAGTTAAAGGACAGGCTCAGGCTGAGGGCTGGAGCAGAGAGCACCCAGGACCCAGGGCCGAGGAAGCAGCTCAGTGCCGGACAGACGGCCACCCCCTTACCTGGGTATAGGTGTCCTCAATGCTGTAATCCACAAGCACCATGATGAGGATTGCAATGGGCACCCCAAAGTCCCCAATCACCCGCCGGATCTGAGTGGGCAAGCACCGCGCTCAGAGGCCATGTGCCCTGCGGCTGCCTCTCACCCCCCAACAAGTCACCTCTACCCTGGCCCGGCTCCCTGCAGCCCGCAAGCCCACGCACCCGGCCAGGGAAGAACCGGCTGTTCTTGAATTTGCGCAGGAAGAAGGCAATGAAGAAGGTGCCAGCCATGAGCACCAGCGACAGCAGGGCTGTGTTGGGCTGGCCCCGGGGCCTCCCCTGCCCGGCCTGTCCAGCTGAGCTCCTGTTGGCCGGCCCCAGCGTGGATCCTGCCCCGGCCCAGGTGGCGTTCTCGCTGCTGTCTGTCTCTGAGCTGTTGGAGACGGAACAGCCGTGCAGCGGGTGTTCCTGGAAGATCTGGAGAGGGGAGGTCCACAAAGGACTCCATCAGCTGGACTGCAGAGAAGGTTCCCGGCACTCAGCTGTCCGTGGGTGGGGAAAAGCCCGCCCTGCCTTCAAGGAGTTTCTCTTATTGGACTGGGAAAATGATCCAGAGAACCAGCACCAACCATGGGGCTGAATGGGATGAGGAGAGGGCCCCAAGGAGCCAGGCGAAGGCAGGAAGGCTGTGCACCAGCCAGGCTTGAAGAAGCCTGGGGTGCCACCTCCTGAGCCTGTCACACACACCCCTGATGCCCAGACTGTGATGTGTGTCACCACTGCTGCACCCCTGGGTTGATACGGTGACAGAAGCATGGGTTTCCTTTGTTATTAAACACGTGCTGGATTTTTGAAAGATTTGAAACCCTGGTTTGTGTGTTGGTGACAGGGAGACTCAGTGGGAGCAGGAAGAACAAGAAGTCCCAGCCCTGTAGGCTCCACAAACCCAAGCCCAGACTGGCTTGGGGATGCTGCAGCCCAGCCGGGCCCCCAACCCAAAGGAAGAACCGCGAGATGGGACAGGGTAGGCCCTGGCTCCCGCCCACCTTGATCAGCTTGTAGAAGGTCTCGTAGATGAAGATGAGGGAGATGAGAAAGGCGAAGATCTCCTGGGTGAAGCGGGAGACAAAGCGGACCAGGAAGCTGCCCTCCAGGGCCACCATGAGCAGCGCCAGCAGCACCAGCCAGAAGCCGATCCACACGCGGCCCACCAGGTACTCCAGCTGGTTGCTGCTACAGAACTGCGGGCGGGGCACAGGGAGCTGTCAGAGTCAGTGGCGACTTAACGAGGTGGGTGTCTGGGCCGGGGGCGGGGGGAGGCAGCTGGAACTGGGCAGGAGGAGCGCCCACCGTGAAGAAGGCCTCCTCGAAGACCAGCAAAGGCCCGGAGAAGCCGATCACCAGCAGTGGCTGAGCCCCCAGCAGGCAGAAGATCACACCCTGCAGCGCCGTGGACATGATCAGCTCCGACACCCCTATCAGGTCCTGCGTCTTCTCTCCTGAGGACGTAGTAGCAAGCAGCTGCAGCAGGGTCCCGCGCAGCCCCCCGAAGGTCTCTGCCCCAGCCGAGGTCTCTGCTTACCCAGCAGCCCCCCAAAGGTGATGGCAGGAGACAGGGCGGCAAAGTAGATGAAGATGACAGCAGCCACACACTGGGGGTCGAGCGCGTCCCGGAAGTCGCTCAGGTAGTGTGGGTAGCGGCGCCGCACGTCACGGATCAGGCCCCCGAAGGGCCGGCCAGTCCGCCGCAGGGGATCATCTTCAGCTGCACCTGCTGCCTCTACCATCTGCAGGAGCGCTGCAACCCAGGCCTCCGTCAGGGCCCCCGTGGGCCCCTCCTGCCATGCTACCCGGCCCTCCTCTGTGCACGCAGCCCGTCGCCAAGAGCACTGCAACCCAGGCCTCTCCCAGGGTGCCCCTAGAGCCCTCCTGTGCACCCCGCTCCCTCCTCGAGGCGGCCCCAGGCCGGCACGGGCCCGTACCCTTATCTTGGGCAGACTTGGGCTCCAGCCCAGCCCCGGGTGGCAGCAGCCGGCCCTGCTCCTCCCGCTTCTTGAGCATCTGGCGCTGGAAATGGGCGACGGAGCGCAGCAGCTCCTCGCCCTGCACTTCGGAGGGCGGCAGCACCACACTGCAGTCCAGGAAGGCGTTGATGGCGGTCAGCAGGTCCTCGCGCTCGTCTGCCAGGTAGGCCGCCTCGTGGAATTGCTACCAAAGCAGGACGGCGATTGGGAAGGGCACAAGTGGGAGGCTCGAGGGCAGAGAGCCGGGGCTGAGCACGATCCGTGGGCATTGGGGGTGGGGGTGGGGGTGGGGCTGAGGTTGGCCAGGAGGACCAGGACCCGGAGGAGGACGGACGGATGGACACTGACCTTGTCCGACATGAGGGTGGAGATGGAGCGGCCGATCTCGTGGTAGTCCATGTTGGCGCTGCTCGGGCCCAGCAGCAGGAAGAGGAAGCGCACAGGCACGGGCACCTCCAGCACAGCATCCAGTTCCACAGCCTCCCGCAGCCGCACGAAGGCCATGGTGGGGCGGGAGAGGAACTCCACGCAGCCTAGAGGCAGGAGGCCGTCGTGGGCGAGCGCAGGCGCCAGGCCTGGCTGCAGAGCCCCCTCTGCCCCGAGACTCGCCCCACATACCCACAAGGACCACCGTGGCCTCGGCGTTCTCCGGGATCTTCTCCAGCAGCTTCAGCTCGTGCTTGGACTTGGAACGTGTGATGCCGGCCGGCGGGGCCGAGGGGGGCAGCTCGCGCTGGGGGAACACGGGAGAGGAGGGAACTCAGCCCGGGTGGGCGCCTCCCGCTGCATGCTCACACCCAGGCTCGCTCACAGTCCTGCCAGCAGCCCCAGGCAGCGCTGCTGTCCCCTCACCTCTCGTTCCACATCCAGCCGGGTCTCGGGAATTCCTCCAATGAGGGGCTCAGTGACATGAGGGTCGCTCTCGGCCCCCTGGCCGTGGTGATGGCCCAGCAGGGAGCCCAGGGAGCCGGCCGAGATGTTGCGGGGGAAGGAAAAGTCCTTCTCATCACTCGGGTGGCTGATGGGAGCAGAGGGCAGCAAGGTTGACAAGGGTGACGGCAGGGGCCGCCAGGGACAGGCGGGAAGGAGGAAGTAGGGCCCCCCTGCCCCAAAGGGCCTCACCTGTGTTTCAGCAGCAGGGCCCGCAGCACGTTGGCTCTGTCCTCGGCCTTGATCTGGTCAGAGATGACCATCTGCTCCACCACCTGGTGGGCCACCCCAGGCAGGGTCTGCTGGTCCAGGTCCAAGAGCACAGCCCCTAGGAGAGAGGCGGCATGGAGATTTCCCCAGAGAACCATGGTGGGTGAGCTGGTCGTGGATGGGGGCATCCAGCTGGGTGTGACCAGGGCATGGGCACAAGCCTACAAATAAGAGGGCTGGAGTGTCCCTGATGTCCATGTCACCCTGACCTCTCTCTGCACCCTGACCGCCCCTCTGGAATGGCATGAGGCTCAGCAGAGACCATCAACACTCACTAACAGATGCTCCATGTGGGGAGCACCCAGCCTCAGTGGGACGCTCCAGGCCGCCCACCCTAGCTGGCAGAAGTCCCTCCTTCCTCCTGGTGAGCTGTGTGTCTGCTCCGAGGTCCCTGTCCCACTCTCTGGACGCAGGACACGGCCTTGTCCCCGTGGCAGCCCTTGAACCAGCTGGAGACGCCCCCTTCCCCTCAGCCCCCTCCACTTCCCCTCACTTCTCCAGGCCCGAGAGCTGTCCCTGGGCGACATCTAGACTTCTCACCACCATTGCATACAGAAATGAAAAGTCTATTCAAAGTGACCGGGTCGTATCACCGGCAAGGTCAGCTTTCAGGAACAAAGAACTGAAGGATAAACAGTTCATCGGCAGCCAAAACAGACACGGCAAAGCCACAGGCCCGTCAAGTGCCCGCACTCTGGCACTGTACCCAAAGGGCCAAGACTCTCTCGGAGCCTTGTCACTCTCGGTTTGGAAACAGCGCCACCAGGAGGTTTCTTGGTCCTCAGCTACTGGGGAACAGGCCCTCCGGCAACTGGCAGTGACTGCCCAACGGGAAGGAGGAAGCATGCGGCCACGGGCTGGAACACCATCAGTGACACGCACACGACCCTAGGGATCAGCTCACATGCCCTAGAATCTACACGACGCTCACAAGGCATGCTAGGAGCTTTGGAGAGCTGTCTGTCAAAATGGTTTAAAAACAGCTTGCCAAGGGCTGGCGCTATAGCGTGGCAGGTTAAAGCCCCAGTCTGTAGTGCTGGCATCCCATAGGGGCACCGGTTCAAGTCCCAGCTGCTCCACTTCCCATCCAGCTCTCTGCTGTGGCCTGGGAAAGCAGTGGAAGATGGCCCAAGTCCTTGGGCCCCTGCACCCGTGTGGGAGACCTGGAAGAAGCTCCTAGCTCCTGATCAGCCGTTGTGGTCATTTGGGGCATGGATCAACAGAAAGGAAGACCTCTTTCTCTCTGGCTCTACCTCTCTCTGTAACTCTTTCAAATAAATAAAATAAATCTTAAAAAAAAAAAAAAAAAAAAGCTTGCCACCCTGAAATGCGTCATTGAAAACATCAGGCGCAGAGAACCTGCTCACTGCCAACGCTAGACACATGAGGGCAGCGTCACTCCCGCCCTGCAGAACCCCTGGGACGCCGGGGCGAGGGACCACACACAGTGCTCTCAGAGAACAGGCCAAAGAGCGGGGGCTTTCTGGGGAGAGGACGTGCAGGTTACCATGGGCCAGGGTCCGCCGGAGCTCCAGGAGACTGCGGAACGACAGAGAGGCGACGTGAGGCTTCCCCCAGCGCTCCGTCTCCTCCTCCACGTCCTCCTCAAATTTGATCCAGCGAGCCGTCTCCCGCCACTGAGGCTCCTGGTTCTTGTCCAAGAGCAACTCGTTCAGCTCCACAAACACCTTGGGGCGAGATGAGAAGGGCACTGCAGGGTGCGGAGCCAAGGCCGCTCCCCCCCACCCCCACCCCTTC